TTTAATTTCCATTCTAATTTTGTTTTTGTGTAACAGTTGCATCAGAATTTGAAAATCCTTAATCTCAGTCATTCCTATCAGCTAACAAAATCACCAGACTTTTCAAAACTCCCAAATCTCAAGGAATTGATATTGGAAGACTGTGAGAGTTTGTCTGAGGTTCACTCTTCCATTGGGGATCTTGGAAGACTTTCTTTGGTAAATCTTGAATGCTGCTACACGCTAAGGGATCTCCCACTGAATTTCTATAATTCCAAGTCTATTGAAACTCTTCTACTTAATCGTTGTTCATGTTTTGAAAAGTTGGCTGAGGGCTTAGGGGACATGGTGTCATTGACAACTCTGGAAGCGGATGAGACAGCCATAAGACAAATACCATCTTCCATATTAAAATTGAAGAAACTGAAAGTTTTTTCTTTATGTCATGTGAAAGGGTCGCCATCAACAAATCTTTTGCCTCCTTCATTGCTAAGTTTAAGCTCCTTAAAAGAATTAGCTCTTGCAAGCTGGAGTTTAACTGATGATGCATTCCCCAAGGATCTCGGTAGCCTAAATTCCTTAAAAAATTTAAATCTTGCCGGCAATGACTTTTGCAGCCTACCAAGCCTCAGTCGTCTTTCACAGCTTCAAGATTTGTCTTTATATGACTGCAAAAATCTTAGTGCAATTCCAGATTTACCAACAAATTTGGAAGTCTTACGAGCAGGTGACTGCATTGCATTGGAAAAAATGCCAGATTTTTCAGAAATGTCAAATATAAGAGAACTGTATCTACGTGATTCGGGCAAACTCACTGAGATTCCAGGCCTGTATAAGTCATTAAACTCCATGACAAGGATTCATATGGAAAAGTGCACTAATCTCACTGCCGATTTTAGGAAGAACATCCTACAGGTCAATCCTTCTCTCTCTCTCTCTCATACATCTTTCTCTTTCTATCTGTTAGTTTAAGGGCATGTTTACGTATCAGTAATGGGTATGGAAGGAAAGGGAATGATTTCCATTCCTGACTTCTCCTGCGTTTACTTGCAATCAGGAATGAAAAAATAAGTGGGCCCTATCTCAAAATCCATAATCACATTCCCTCAAAATTAGGAATCAGATCAACTAAGGGGGAGTAGTCGATACGATTCCCATTCCTATTTTCTCTTAATAACTTTCAAAAATACCCTTATCACTTTATCATAATTCTAAAATTAATTTAGATTCTGATTTATGCAAATTAGTAAACAATAACAATGGAAATCAATCCAATTCCATTGCTAATTCCATATGTTTAGTAAACAGCTTAATGAGAATGATTCTTCAGTATCATACCCCATTGTCGAACTAAGGGTTATTATCTTTGGCAGGGACAGTTATCGAATGACGAGCTCAAATTGCAAGACGGTGATAAAGTCTGGATTGAAATAATAGTGGACAAATGGGTGAAGGTGAAGAAAACAGGTGTTAGTCTGGTATGGGACAAATTTATGAACGAAAATATGATTGATTACCATCTTTGTGCGTATGAACGACGCCCATCTCAAAATCTGGTCAATGATGATGACATCATTCATGTTGAAGATGATCATGACATGACAAAATCACCAGACTTTTCAAAATTCCCAAATCTCGAAAAGTTGATATTGAAAGGTTGTACATGGTTGATTAAGGTTCACTCATACATTGGGGATCTTGGAAGACTTTCTTTGGTAAATCTTGAAGGCTGCAACAATCTAGAGGATCTTCCACTGAATTTCTATAAATCCAAGTCTATTGAAACTCTTCTACTGAATGGTTGTTCAAGATTTCAAAACTTGGCCGATGGCTTAGGGGACATGGTATAATCGAACAACTTGAGAGTTTTATCTGTATGTGGTGTGACAGGGTCACCGTCAACACATCTTTTGCCCCCTTCCTTAAATGGCTCTTTAAGGGAATTAGCTCTTGCAAGCTGCAGCTTAACTGAAGAAGCCTAATTTCCTTAGCAGAGTTATGTCTTGCAGGCTGCTGGCGGCGTAGGCTACCAAGCCTCGGTGGTCTTTCAATCCTTAGAACATCTGCTTCTTGTAGACAATTACTTTCGTAGCCTACCAAGTCTCGCTGGTCTTTCAAAGCTCAAGGTCTTGTGTTTAAATGCATGCAGAGACCTTCGTGCAATCCCAGATTTACCAAAGAATTTGTGTGTTCTGAAAGCAAATGGCTGCCCAGAATTGGAAACAATTCCAGATTTTTCAGAAATGTCGAATATGAGAGAATTGTATCTCTGTGATTCGTTCAAACTCACTGAGGTTCCAGGCTTGGATAAGTCATTAAACTCCATGACAAGGATTCATATGGAAGGCTGCACCAATCTGACTGTTGATTTTAGGAACAACATCCTACAGGTCTCTCTCTCTCTCTCACTCACACACACACACACAGAGGCACAGCTGCAGATGCGGCCCATGTAATGATATATGCAAGCATGCATAAGACTGTCTTGCTTCTGGTGTGCAGAGATGGACTTCTTGCGGATTTGGTGGAATTTATTTGAATGGAATTTATGATATTCCCGAGTGGTTCAAATTCGTCAATAATGTGGACAATTTCGTCTTCTTTGAAGTTCCTCAAAGAATATTGGGTCGTGATTTAAAAGGGTTGACGATATGCTTCGTTTACTCAAGATTCTCAAGGTCTAATTGGCATTATCTAGAACTTGAAGATTCTGAACGTCGTATAGTCATTATTGTTAAAAATTTTACCAGGCGAACTGCTTTGCACGCCAGGATAGCATCAGTCTCCTTACTTGAAGACCATTATCTTTGGCAGGGACAATTGTCAAACGATGTGCTCCGTTTGGAAGGCGGTGACCACGTATCGATTCTTGTAAGGCCTGATAATGATTTTGTGAGAGTGAAAAAGACAGGGGTTCATCTAGAATGGGACAAAGTCATGAAGGAAAATATGGATCATTTGTATGATTTGTAAAGAAATCGGGATTTTTTAGGGGGAGTTGATGAGTCCATTTCAATAAATTGTTGTCACTGAGACGAATTGGGCAAGATTTGAAGTATGGACTTCAAAGGTTAACTGCTCTTGGATTATGAGAGACTTTAATTTCGCCTCTTCGTTAATACACTTTATTTAACAATTATGACCACCAAGTTGCTCAAAATTTTAGGTTCAAATTGATTTAATTGCACAGCTAGTGGTGACAGCCCTAGCGTAGTTCTCTAATTTCCAATTTTTATTTTCCTTCTGTTTTATAACTTTTCCCAATTGTCCTTGGACATAATTTCATTTCCTGGCCAAAAATAAAATTTTATTTAATATCTAAGCTAGGTATATCAACATTATCTTTCAAGTGTCAATAAAAGCTATTAATCTTGTTTCCCTTGTAACAAGAAAAGTGCTGTAAATCTTCTATGAGCTGGACAAAGAGTTTATAAAAATTAAAAACTTAGCTTGAAAGGACATCAGATTCAGCTCCAATATATGTTGACATGGTAAATATATAAAAACCTGATGCAATCCAAATTCTATAAAACATCCCAATATTCATGACTATTTGGGTTTTTTTTTCCCCTCATTATAGGAAAGTTTGGGAAAATGAGCCGATATTAAATAAACATTTTTCATGACTACTTTGTCCCCATTAACAATTTAGAATTACAATATATCATTAAATGCATTCTTTTTTTATTTGATTTAATATGGATATAATTGAAAATTTATACAAACTTTGTTTTCCACTCATACTCAAAACAAACATAGGAAAGGAAATAAAGTGATATTTCCCTGTTACTTTCCTAATATTACCAAACATGGTAAATGAATCTTCTATTTTTCATTCCTTGAGAAATAACATTTCCTATCAAATTCGTTCCGTGAACCAAACGGGCCTAAGCTTCCTTTCATTTTCCTGACATTGAATCTTTTAGCCGTTCATAGATCGTGTAGCCAAAAAGATATAATCTTTTCATTGTTCTCCCCACATGGGAACTTTTGCTTTTGTCGACTGAAACGTTTGAGGACCTTGACCGCGTATTTCGAATTTATTCATCTGCGCTGCAACACACAAACCACTGCCCAGAAAAAATAATTGATTATGAAAAAATATTTCGAATTTTTTGATTGGACATTGTGCTCGTCTCTTCCAGCGCTTTTCATGCCTCTTTCCCCTAAGCTTCCTTGCATTTTCCTGACCTTCAATCTTAGCCGTCCAGCAGATCGTGTAGCCAGCAGCCACAGAAAGTGACCCCTGGTTTTGGTTGCTTCCAGAAAATTACCCTCTGTTCACACTGATCTTCCACGCTCTCTCTGCCTCTCTCCGCGTCAAATGCCGTGTTGGCAGGAACGTAGGGGGACTTTTGCTTCTGTTGACTGAAAAAAGACTTGTGTTTTTCTTCTTCCATTTTCTTTTTCTTTTTTAATTGGACATTGTGCTCGTCTCTTCCAGCGCTTTTCATGCCTCTTTCCCCTAAGCTTCCTTGCATTTTCCTGACCTTCAATCTTAGCCGTCCAGCAGATCGTGCAGCCAGCAGCCACAGAAAGCGACCCCTGCCTCTCTCCGCGTCCATGACGTGTTGGCTAGAACGTAGGGGCTTTTGCTTCTGTTGACTGAAACGTTCGAGGACCTTGACCGTGACTTTGGGTAGTTCAATAATATATTCATCTGCTGCTCAAGGCCAAACCTCTGCCCCGTAAAAAACAATCAATTTGTAGTTGGTCTGATCTGAACCAATATCAATTAATGGATGCCTGGAAAGCCCATAAAGCCTCCTCTTCATCCTCACAATCCTCCTCCTCAAAACGTTGGGAGTACCAAGTGTTCTTGAGCTTCAGAGGTGAAGACACACGCAAGGGCTTCACAGGCCACCTCCACGCCGCATTATCTGATGCCGGAATCCGCGCCTTTCTTGACGACAACGAGCTAGAAAGAGGGGAATTTATAAAAAACCAACTGGAGCGGGCAATCGACGGGTCCATGATCTCCATAATTGTCTTATCCGAGAGGTATGCCGAGTCCAGATGGTGTCTTGACGAGCTGGTGAAGATCATGGAGTGTAGAGAAAGATTGGGGCAACAGGTTATTCCATTGTTCTATAATGTTGATCCTTCAGATGTCCGGAAACAAACTGGTAGTTTTGCACAAGCTTTTGAGAAACATGAAGCAGGCATCTGTGAAGGTAAACATGAGAAAGAAAAGGTACAGCGGTGGAGAAATGCTCTCACTCAAGCTGTAGATTTGTGTGGGGAAGATCTTAAAAATGCTGACAATGGGTAAGTACTAATTTCTTGTTACTTGGTTTATCATCTCCTTAAAATGTTCTGTCCTTTTTGTTTTTGTTTTTGCTTTTCCAACTATGTTTTTGTTGAAATATAATCCTGTTCTGCCTGATTTCTTAGGCAGAAGTCATTTTCTATTTTCTGTTATGTCTATTTTAAATGATGTAATGAGAACCATTAGATCATAGTCTAGGCGGATTCTCTAGCTTAGATTTGGTATGACACGTGTAAGCACCTAATAGGGTGACAGTTGTAATTCTGTTAGAAGAGAATCACATTTCTCTCTCTGTCAGACACACTATGTAAGCTGCAGATTGTAAGAATTCAATAGAACAGTGCCTTCCTCATTTCTCTTCATTCTCTCTAGCTGAAATCTCCAGAAAATACATCTCTTCCTAATCTGAAAATACATATACAAACTAAGAATTCTAACATGGCCTCAGAGCCAGGTTCGATTGTTTGTTGGGCGTGAATCTGTGAAGATCGAGCTGGTGTTTGGCTGGGCTGACGTTGAGCTCACTCAAAATTTCACGAAGCTTTTCTAGCTGCGTCTGATGTCTAACATGGCAGGATCAAGCTCTTCTGAGCTTCGTACACCAGTTTTCAATGGAGAAAACTATGAGTTTTGGAGCATTCGAATGAAGACCATTCTGAAATCTCATGGACTGTGGGATTTGGTTGAAAATGGTTTTGATGCTTCAGATCCAAAGAAAAAAAAAGGAAAGGAAGAAGGATCTAAAGCTGCTGAAGAAGAGAAGTCTATAACGGCTGAGATTTTGATGAAAGATGCTCGTGCACTTGGACTGATCCAAGGTGCAGTCTCAGACCAAATTTTTCCCAGAATAGTGAATGAAGAAACCTCAAAAGGTGCATGGGATATTCTGAAGCAGGAGTTTAGAGGCGATAAACAGGTACGAAGTGTGAAGCTACAAGGCTTACGTAGAGAGTTTGAATACACTCGTATGAAGGATAGTGAGTCATTCTCTAGTTATGTTGCTAAACTATTTGATCTAATTAATCAAATGAAAAGTTATGGTGAAGAGTTACCTAGAGAAAGAGTTGTGCAGAAATTACTTATTAGCTTGCCTAGATCTTATGACTCTATATGTTCTGTGATTGAGCATTCAAAGGATCTTGACACTCTTGAAATTCAAGAAGTGGTTGCGTCTCTCAAGAACTTTGAGCTCAGGTTGGATAGGCACACTGAAAATTCCACAGAAAAGGCTTTTACTAGCCTGAACATAGAGAGTAAAAGCTCTAAGAATGGAAGTTCTTCTGGAGGTAACAAGTCTCAGAGGAACTGGAAGGGAAATGGGAAGAATTGGAATAACAAGTCCAATTCTAATCCCAAACCAAATGCATCAAATGATGGAACTAAAACACCTTGCAAGCACTGTGAAAAACTGCACTATGGCAAGTGCTGGTTTGAAGGAAAACCAAAATGCAGAGGATGTGGAAAGTTTGGTCACATAGTTAGAAATTGCCATGAAAATCAACCTGTGCAGAAGGTGAATTATGCCAATCAAGCTGAAGTAACTGGAACATTATTTTATGCATGCAATGCCGTGACAGATGTGAAATTGAACAATTCTTGGTATGTGGACAGTGGTTGCAGTAACCATATGACTGGAGATGAAAGGTTATTGATAGATATTCGAAGGGATGTAACTTCCAAGGTGAAAATGGGGACTGGAGAGACAGTTCAAGTTGTAGGAAAAGGCACACTTGTGATAGAAACCAAGACAGGCAGAAAACACATTCAAGAAGTGATGTTGGTGCCTGGTTTAGAAGAGAACTTGCTCAGTGTTGGTCAGATGATGGAACATGGGTATTGTTTAGTATTTGGAAAGGGAATGGTGACAATTTTTGATGATTGGTCACTGCAAAATCCTATAGCTAAGGTTCCAATGACTATCAATAGGTGTTTCTCTCTCACAATGGTACCTGCTACTCAGTTGGTGCTGAGAGCAAGTGTGACTCACAGTTTGCAGACTTGGCATAAAAGGCTGGGCCATCTTAATGATCAAAGCATCAGGATGCTGGCAAATCAAGACATGGTTCATGGACTGCCTAGTCTGGAGAAGGATTTTGCAGTTTGTGAAGGCTGCAAGCTGGGAAAGCAGCATAGAGACTCATTTCCTGCAGAATCTACTTGGAGAGCTCAGTTTCCACTTGAATTAGTCCACACTGACATCTGTGGTCCTATGCAGATTGCATCAATATCAGAAAACAGATATTTCATGTTATTCATTGATGACTATACAAGAATGGCTTGGGTTTATTTTCTCAGAAATAAATCTAATGCTTTTGAATGTTTCAAGAAGTTCAAAGCAATGACAGAATTGCAGAGTGGACACAAGGTGAAATCACTTAGAAGTGACAGAGGTGGAGAATTCATGTCAAATGAATTTCTTGCATACTGCAGTGAGGCTGGAATACAAAGGCAGCTGACTGTAGCATATTCCCCTCAACAAAATGGAGTTGTTGAGAGGAAGAACAGGACTGTAATTGAGATGGCAAAGTCTATGCTACATGAAAAGAGACTTCCATATGAGTTTTGGGCAGAAGCTGTTCATACAGCAGTCTATCTTCTCAACAGGTGTCCTTCTAAGTCTCTTAAGAAAATGACACCATTTGAGGCCTTCACAGGAAGAAAGCCAGGTATTGCACACTTGAAAGTGTTTGGATGCCTATGTCATGTGCTTATTCCTTCTGTTTTGAGACACAAGTTGGAAGAAAACAGTCACAAATGCATTTTTGTGGGCTATGGATTGTGTGAAAAAGGCTATAGACTGTATGATCCTAAGACTATAAAGATTATCTTGTCTAGGGATGTCTATTTTGATGAAGAAGCCTCATGGACATGGGAGAATCCTAGCAATGCAGATGTGAGAATGCCTATGCCAGATGGAAATCAAGGTACTGCAGAAACTGAACAGAAGGTATTAGATGAACAATCTCAGTTTTTGGATACTCAAATGCAAATGGAAGAAGAAGAAATTGCACCTCAAGGGGAAGAAATGCTTGATGAGACTCAAAGGGTTGATCACACACCTCACAAGTGGAGGAGTATTAATGACATCATGACACAATGCAACATGTGCATTGTAGAACCTGACAGCTTTGAAGAAGCAGATTTGGATGAATCATGGAGAAGTGCAATGGAGGCTGAATTCAAGATGATTAAGAAGAACAATACATGGAAATTAGTTGACAGGCCATTTGACAAACCAGTAATTGGTGTTAAGTGGGTCTACAAGGTCAAACTGAACCTAGATGGTACTGTGCAGAAGAATAAAGCTAGGCTTGTGGCTAAAGGCTATTCACAGAAGCCTGGAATCGACTATAATGAGACATTTGCCCCTGTGGCAAGACTTGACACCATCAGAACCTTGATAGCCCTTGCAGCACAAAAGGAATGGAACCTATTTCAACTGGATGTGAAGTCTGCCTTTCTCAATGGCATTCTAAAGGAGGAAGTTTATGTTGAACAACCTCAAGGATATGTTCAAGAGAGCAAGGAAACCAAGGTGTACAGGTTGAACAAGGCTCTATATGGACTGAAACAAGCCCCAAGGGCCTGGTATGATGAAATAGATGCCTATTTCAACACTGCAGGTTTTAAGAAGAGCTTAAGTGAAGCTACTCTCTATATCAAAACAAGTGACACCTCAGGTATTATCATTGTCTCACTCTATGTAGATGACATTATATATACTGGAAGCTGTCCTAAAATGCTTGAAGAGTTTAAACAAGATATGATGCAACACTATGAGATGACAGACTTGGGTATGTTGCACCATTTTCTTGGCATGGGAGTGGAACAAACTGATAAGCATATTTTCATTCATCAAAAGAAATATGCCATGAAAATTCTTGAGAAGTTTGGAATGAGAGACTGCAAGTCAGTGGCAATTCCATTAGTGGTAAATGAGAAATTGTGTAGAGAAGATGGAAGTGAAGCAGCAGATGAAAATGAATTCAGACAGATTGTAGGGAGTCTGCTTTATCTGACTGCCACAAGACCAGATGTCATGTTTGCATCTAGCTTGCTTGCTAGGTTTATGCACAATCCCTCAAAGAAACACATGGGAACTGCTAAAAGGGTGCTGAGATACATACAAGGCACATTAGATTTTGGAATTGAGTTTGCAAAGGGGAAAACAGCTACTCTAATTGGGTATTGTGACAGTGACTGGGCTGGGAGTGAGGATGATATGAGGAGCACCTCAGGATATGCCTTCACACTAGGCTCAGGCATGTTCTCTTGGGCTTCCATCAAGCAAAACACAGTTGCTTTATCTACAGCCGAAGCTGAGTATGTGAGCGCTGCAGAAGCAACTTCACAAGCTAAGTGGCTCAGATTTGTGCTTGAAGATTTTGGTGAAGAACAGGTAGAAGGGACTCCAATTCTATGTGACAACACCTCTGCAATTGCAATGGCAAGGAATCCAGTTCATCACCAAAAGACAAG